CCGCACGAATTAAATTTTCTGTCGAGCCGAAAAAAAAAAGAAGAATATTTCACGCATCAACTGGCAGACAAGACGCTGGGCGATGGGCGTGCCGGCCATATTATAGAGTCCTTGAAGCCTATTGCCGGCGTTTTTCACACTTTGCCGTCTGTCGTTGTCGTTGTTGTTGTTGTTGTTGCACAATCAACGACACGTGGCAAGTGCCATATAATTTATATCAACTTTATATTTTTTATGATTTTTTTGTATTTCATTTTTTTTTTCGACTTTGCGAGTGTTAAATTTGATATGCTTCAAGCTTTAAAAATGTATGAAATATTTTCTGGTCTTAAATTGTTTTTTCATTTGTTCGTTTTACAGTTCTATCAAATTCATTTGGCTTAAGTCTCTTCTTTCCCATTATGAAAAGAAATTAATTTATATTTCTTTTAAACTTCTTTTTATAAGCTGCTTTGGCCAAAACATTTTCAAAGTAATCATTTTTTTGGATCAATTTGTTAGATTTTACGGTGCGCCTGCTTCTTTCACTGGTTCCCCTTTGTCTGATCCCTATCTAAATCTATTACAATTCATATTCATATTCCGCACACACACACATCGCCCAATCCCCCACACACTGCTCTGTAGCATGACATAGTCAGAAAGTGAAATCAAGTGTTAAAGAGTTTTGAGAAAGAAGTCTGCAAATATTTTCCCTTAACAATGTCGCAATTCTTTTGCAAGCGTTTTCTTGTCCCATTTTAAATGGATAAAAATAGGGTATAATGGATTTGAGCATGTGTATGTTACTCATATTCCATACGCAGATAAATGTAACTTCTTTCGCTATTTTGCCTGGATATTTTGAAGAATTTATACATAATATAGCACCATAAATTCAAAACTTATTTAAGAACCAACATTCAAAAGTATTGGCCGCTGCCTAGAAGAGAATATAAGTTTACGTTACGCAGTTCGGGTACAGGGTATATCCCAGTCGGGCACTCTTAACTGGAGCACTCTTGTTATTTTTTGTAGCCCTTTTACGAGCATTTCCGTTTGCTGCTTAGCCTAATATCGAAATAAACATACTTTATCCGTTATTGCCGTCGAATTTATGGTTTCTTAAATGCTGCCCCCGCCAACCCCCCCTTCAGGCGAAATATGAGACGCACATGTTACGCATTATGCAAGCCAAATTGGATGGATTTTGAAAAGGGTCGCAACTATGTATGTGCCCAGTTCCTTGGATGTGGCCAACAATCTTCTATTAGTTAAAAAAAAACTTCGACAGCTGCCCAAGTTTATTAGAAGATGACAGTGAGACGATAAGAAAGTTTTGACAGTTTAAACTGGAATTAATGCAGGCATGTGTTGTTGAAAGAAAACTTAATTTTCTTTGTTTTTATTTTTTTTTATAATTTTGGTTCATTTATTGAGGCTTCAAACGTAGTGCCTCGAAAATGCATTCACAATCGCAATTAAAACCAAGTACAAGGTCACCGTTTTTGCACAGACAAGGAAAAATTGCCACAAATGACTGCGACGCCGCCGCTAACAAAATTGCAAATTTTGCACATGGGAAACAAATATGTACATGTATGTATGTATTTGTGTGTGTGCGGCCTTTCCACGGAATGCAATTGAAATCCGTGGCAAGATAATGCAGCGGCGGGCAGAGGAGACCAGCAGACACCACCTACCCCAATATAGCAAAGACAAAAAACAAAACAAAAAAAAAACCAGCTGAAAACAAAGTTTCCCAGCACTGCTTTTGCGCAGGTCCAAGACTGGAAATGAATTACAAGTGTTGCGAAGTAGGGCCACACGACTCCCTCTACAACAACAATAAAAGCAAAGCACCACGCAGTAATGGCGGCTACAGCTGTGGCTGTGCAGGTTTGTGAGATATGAAATAGAAATTAACGCAAAACGAGCGCGAAAAAATGGCAAATGTATACGGGAGCTAGCACATTATTCATGATCTACAAAAACAGCAACGCCCTCGCGTCGCTCTCGCTCGCACTCACTCACTGAGTTTTGGGGCGCGTGGAAGCTAACTTACAGTTATGTTTTATGGAAAGCATAAATGCAAATATACTTACCACATTCCAGAATATGTGCAGAGTTACAATACATATGTATATGTATGTGTATATATGTATGTACAATTCCATATGTGCATTTATGTTTGTCCATACATATGCTAAGGACTTCCATTACATTTTAAATGCATGCTCACACGACACCTCCAAATTGTTTGCGCCATTGTTATGATTCGTCGTTACTTTTGTTTTTTAAATGTATTTTTGTTGTTGTTGTTACTTTTGTATCATTTTCTTTGTTTATTTACAGTGAATAGTCGTACGCGAATTTAATTTAAATCCACGCACATATTTTTTTAAAGCTTCTGCTTTCTTCACACTACTTCCAACGCAACTTCTTGCCATCTGCGTTGCCAACCGATCTATCGATCGCATAATAATTGACACCGCTCTCTATAACACCTGCCCAATACAAAGCAATGAAAAATAGCCACAAAATAAAGAAATCATTAGAAAATCGTGTAGCACATTAGTCCAACTGTCGGCACCCACCCACAATTTGCACATAATGTTGAACACGCAAGTCAATTGATGCAATTTGTTCGACAAGCTGCCGGCAATTGGGTCGCCTCCGACTGGTGCTTACCCCATGTTTCTTATTCCTTGGGTCCCCAGTGACAATTGACATGAGAGTTGAAAATGCCGTAACAGGTTCACGGTCTGCCGCACGTGTGGTTTGGGTATCGATCTCGGCGGGTGTTGATGCTGTATGGGTGTGTGCTCATCAACAGTTTGCAGTTGCTTTGCTGCTGATTTAAGGGTTGGCCGACGCTGCCCTTAAATGAATTGCGGCGATTTATTGCGGTAATACTCATTTAGTTGCCTGAAAACAGTGGTTGTCGAATGTGTGTGCGTGTGTGTGTGGCCGTGCTCAAGACGAGTGCAAACAATGCGCACAATAAAAATAAATCTCCAACTGGTTAGGGCAGGGCATGGGGAGTGGCTTTAGCTTACAAGTGTGTTTAGTTATACCCGTGGGAAGTCGTCTGTGGCGACGACTGTTTTAATGGCTGTCAATGCGTCGCGTTGCCAATTACTTTGAGTTTGATGCGCCATTGATTGCCAACGGTTTTTGGTATTCATGTCACTTGCAGCCCTGGCAGGTCTCTAGTCTGCCTATTACAATAATCACTATAATTGGGCTTTACTTTGACAAAGACGAAAAAAAAAAATTACGTGATATGCATTTTAGCCAAAGCCCGAGCTATGCTAGCTGGCAATTAATAAGCCAATTTCTTGGCACCACTCTTATCAGTGGACCACGTAAATCAGCATTATGTTGAAAACGAAAATGAAAATGAGCTCAAAATTCAATTACAGCTAGAGGGGGGGCAGGACGCATTAAATCGCCTTCGTCTTTCAAGGCGCCACCATAAATCAACCACCACCGCAAATGAAGACCTCGCATAATTTTGCCAAGCCAGGTATGCTTCTTATTACATTTTAAGCAGCTTTAGAAGCAAACCAAACTAGCAACAGCTCATAACTCATTGCTTTGCTTGGCTGCACGACGTTTTGTCGCATATTTTAATTTGTTTTCTAATTTATGAGAAGCTTTGCCGTTTGCGTTGCCAACCTAACCGAATAGTGTTGCACCATGTTAATTGTTTGATAATGTTTACGTCCTGCGAACATAATAGCATAATTAATCGATATTAAATGAACACAGCAGCAACAACAGCAGAACAATAAACGCCGGAAAACCTACAAAAGGTTAAATTAAACGAAGTAATTGTTACCGACACAGACAACAGACGAAACTCCCCCCTGCACAACTCGAGATCCCGAGTTTCTGACTGGAGGGGTGGGCACACTGGCACAATGCACAACAAACAGTTGCCCAGACACGCACAAGGCATAGCCCGATGGGTTTTTTGGGAGAGGGTGATGGAGAGGGAGTGGGAGCGGGGGTAGCTCGTTGAGAGTTTTTGATTTTTAAACGGAGTTGAATGGTTGATAGGGTGGGAGTATGGCAGGGGCGGACTGGTAAAGCGCAGAAAGTCACACTGCAGGTGGCGGCACTGAACCAAGGGTTGGTGCGCAAAGTGATTTAAATGCATTCTTAATGGGATGAAATTATGTGCTCGGTCTGATTTGCGGTTTGACGTAGTAGCTCCAGACCAGCTCAAGGGCAGCACCAGCCCCCCAACATTCTCTAGATACATATACAGATATAAATATGCATAAGCTTGCGCTTTTGATGTGCGCCCTGTCTAGCTAAAGCGAACCTGGAATATCCTTCGCGCAGAATGTTAATCTTAAGCTAACTTATGTTACTCCTTAACTACAATTTCTTTAATTAAAAACCTTGCCTATAAAATTCTAATTAAAGTTTGGAATTTGACAAGTACAGCGCGACCCACGAAATCCGCTTAAAATCATAACAAAATAACAATTTGTAGCGAATCCCGTTTACGGGTCACATTAAGAGTCCTTATCTATGCTAAGCAGCGGTCACACATTTTCTTTGACCCCGCTAGCGTAAGCTTTTGCTCGAGTGGGGTAGAAAAGCTTTAGACAGAAAAGGCACACGATTTTTATATTATTGTATTATATTTTATGTGTCAATTTTATTTTACTTTATTTGTATAATTGTTATGCTTCATTTTGAAGCGCCATATTTTGAGCTGGCGGCAAATATAAGAATATATATTCATACTTAATATATTATTTACATATAATATTTAATAATATTTCTGCAAATAACATTTGAATAGCGCCAATTAATTTTTAATTTAATTTTTTAAGCGAAAAAAATACAAATTTCCAAGGCTAAGGGTAAATATAAAAAAAATGATAATATGCTCTAACAATCTAACATTAAAATTGTATATAATATTGCTTTAGGGATTTTACATAATTATATTTCAAAAGATTATAATAAAAACCGACCAATACACTATTTAATAGAACAGAAAATAATAAGTTAAACACTCAAAATTTTACAATAGAAACGAATTTGAAAATATACGACAATGCTAAATGTAAGTTCTAATTCCTGTGACCGACTGAATATACTAATATTTACAAGCCCTATACCAGTTCTTTATATACAACGTTAAACAAAAATTGTTTATTTTTAATTTGCCTACCTTTTGACTAAACTTGTCCTGATGATCAATTCAAAACTGAACGTAATTTGCAACGGCATGTGTCCCTTCACTCTTTTACTATTCAGCTCAAAAAGTTATTAAACTTTTCAGCAACGTTAACGCGAAGCTGCTAAGTGACGCCTAAAGCTTGTGCAGCGGGTTTGGCAGATTCTGTGGCGGCAGATGACCATTCGGAGTTATAATATTTAAATGTACTCTACAAACAGTTGGTCCAGTAAACTCATAACGATGCAAGCAAGTGGAGCGCGCACGCAGCTCGTCAGCAGTGCCCGGAAAGGAAATGGGTTCAGTGGCCAAGTGCGGCTCGGCGACATAGAGTTCATCGCCTGCATAAATATTATAAAAGTTAGAATCTGATCTATTATTAAAAAACCGAGCACAGTTTACCTGGCAGAGCAAACACCATGCCATCGCTGCAATTGTAACCAACCGGTAAAAACAAAGTAGTGCCCAATTGGCTACGCTGCGCTGCAAATTGCAGCAGTTTCTGGTAATTCGGGATAGCTATCAGACGCGAGAGCTCATAGATTTGTGGTGGCATAAGCCAGAGTTCCCCGTGCTGGTACATACACAAAAAATCGACTGGAGTGCGCCACTGTAAAAAGATTATAGATTTAAAATATATACATGGGTGAGTTACACTTAAGTTAGTTACCAAGCACTCCTTGACCTCAGTAGGCTCTGCGAGCAGGATAGGCTGGTTGTCCAAAAATACCATGAAGAAAACCGTTTCATGGCTACAAAAAAACAAAACAAATAGTTTGAAGCTAATTAAACCAAAACCAAAAACTTTCATTAATCAGTTTTTCGACAATTTTTTCGTCAGGAAAAGTTTAAAGACAATCGCATGGCAAAGTAAGAAGTTTCAATTAACCAATTCCGCCAATTTTCCACCAGGAAAAACAGTTTTATGTATGAAATAAAACCTTTTCAACCCCACCCAACTAACCCTTTTTTGACAATCGCTGGACTCGCCCAGGCGGACCACTCGTGTAGGGCCCACAAATCCGGCACCACTTGCAGTTCACGGCACAGCTCTAAAAATTCACTGGGCTTATTATGCACACGTCGCTGCCAGGTCTCACGATCGAAGTGCTGCTGCTCCCGCTGAAACTGCGCTGTCAGAGCCACTGCATCCAGTTGATTCAGTTGCGTACGGCTGCGGCAGAGCAGAATGCCCACCTCCTCGAAACACTCACGCAACGCCGTCAAGCGTAGCGTAATTTCCCTAATAAACCACAAAGATTAGATTTGATCGGTGTTGGTATTGCACCTTGTACTGACCGTGCCCAAATTTTGGAGCGTTTAAAAAAGCGATCGTAGCAACCGTTGCCTTGGGGTGCCAATATTCCTGGCCTATGATCACTGATGAGTATCAGGCTACGCAGCGCCTCTTGGGACACGCCAAACTGCTCAAAATACTCCAGCCAGGCGACGCTCTCATCCCCCTCCACGTCCAGTAGGCCGCCAGGAAAAACAGTTTGATTGTCCGCTATGGCCGTGGCCTCGCTGCGCTTCAGCATTAATAGCTATGGAGAATAAAAATAAACATTATTTAGTGCACCTGTTGATTCTAGTTGCTAATGTTTTTGTCACTCACATTGTAATCCTCGCTAGCTGCTGCTGCTGGCGCCACCAAAATTAGGCTCGCCGAGGTACGCCATCTAGTGCTCGCATTTTTTGCACTCGGCTGCTTTACTTTATTTTCCATTTAATACTTTTTTTGTTTTGTTTTTATTGCCAATAGGTCTAATCAATTAGATGCGCTTTGGACAGTCGATAACATCGATAACATCGCGATTAACTTGAAATCGATTACTAAGTGATAAGCGCAACCACGAGTTTGGTGCGGGGGTACAGCTACACCTAAAAACATTTATTGCTCGTTTTTTCACGTTGCGAGGGCTACCATTTGAATTCTGCGCCACAAATATTACATATTATATTTTCTATATCAATCGTTGAAATCCTTGAAATAGTAAATTATTCACCATGAAATATTTTTCCAATCAGAATTTGCAGATCGGTAACGACCGATCTTCTAATATTAATTTAGCCTCGACCACTGTTTCACTGTTTCACCACTGTTTCATTCATTGCCAAAGTCAAAGGAAATCAATGGCTGTCTTGAAAATTCACAAGTTTATTATATTTTTTAGTATATTATATAGTTACAAAACAATCAATTATTTATAAAGTAGAGTAGCTAATATAGCCTCCGGCTAAGAAATTACTACATCGAAACACAAGTCCGAATTGCGAACCGTCTGCTTGATATTCAGTTACCTGAAAGACTGGTTCACTTAGACAAAGGTACCAAGGTGCATAATATAAGAGACAGCCCTCGTAGCCGTTAAGTATATGCACACAACATGTTCACAAGTACATATATATTTAATCAGCTTTCGCCATTTAATGTATTTCTGGCTTTATTTAATGTGGTTTCGCAGACCATTTATGATCATGCCAGGGTATTATGTTTTCTCTTTACTGATAGTTAAGCATATAATTTGGTGCACAGTTTTGATTTCGATATACCAAGTTATTTTGGTTATCTTTTTTTAAAACATACATATAAATCTTATAATATAGTTTTCCCATAAAATCTAAATGTTTTTACAGCTTGCCTAAGCCAGAGCCAGAGTGTGAGTGTGTGTGTGCGGGAATTATTGGTGTGGGTGTGTGTTCAAAATGTAACTAGATTGCCAATCCGATCGCCACCTGTCGCTTTTGTGCTAATCATCGTTACAAAACAAAAGTTTTCCATGCCTATATGCCTTCCCATCTATTCGTCTTTCTTGGTGCCAGCGTCAATATTGTCATCATCATCGTTGCTATCGTTATCATAGTTGGTCGGCTGCTCACCATTACGCAGCAATTTGCCAACAAATTCGTATTTCTCCTTGAATTGCATTTCCCAGTCACGCACTGAGTCCATTTCCATGGTGCCCAGATCGCTCAGATCATCGTAATCATCCTTATCGTTGGCCACCACACTGAATGTGGCCAGATTGCGCGATGCATCACGTCCGGCAAATGTGGCATATGGTCCGCCTGGGCCATAGAAACGTTTGCCCTTGGTGACGTCATAAACATTGCCATTGACTGCAACCAAAACACGACCATCTGGCTGATTGCCATCATAGGCCCGCAGTTCCTTAACAGTAAAGTCACGACGCAATTTGGGCAACTCCGGCTCAGCCGGTTGCTGTGCCAAATCCCGTGTGCCCGGTCCCTCGCAACGGTCACGCACTATTTTATATACCAAAAAGCAAATGATTGAGAGCAGAGCCAGATTCATGGGACTGTAAAAGATTTCACGAAATGCGGCGGCCAGAAATGACGAATCGGCTGTTGCATCAGCTTCAACTGTATTTTGTTGGGATTCCATCTTTGCAAGTTGCTTCTTGTGGCTCCGGTAACCGATTGTTGAACTTTGCACACGTTTTTCGTCTGCGCTTTCTTCGCTTTATTTGCGGTGCGTACGTTTGTATGAGATGTAAATTGCAAAGTGAACACAACAAATACAAGCGCACGATTCTTGCATTTATTTATACACAATATGTTGATTTCTCTTTCTAGAACAATGTATTTTCTTTTCACCCTGTACCTGTGCCTTTAAACAGCTGAAAAGCGTAGTTCTGACAGCTGACATGAGCCAGCGAATTGCAGGAGCAATCGGTTATCGGTACTAGAGACACGCTATCGGTTACTTGTTGCTCCTGAATGTAACGGACGTCGAAACATATTTATCAACACTACCGTTCAAAATTCGTGCACAACGACAACCGACGACATAGCGAACTATGATTACAGCAGCAGCCCAAATAACAATAAACATTTGTTGTGCGCAGAGTAAAAACCACTTGGCAGATAGCTGAAGATGCACACAAACACGTGCCACTGCAGCTGCCCAAATGGCAAGTGTACTTAAGAGCCAGCAAGACTCAGCCCAAGGCACTTGCACTTTCTGTTTGCAAACTGAAACATTATGAAAATTCTATTAACAATCATTTGGCTAGGCTGCATCTGTGCAAGCTATGCTGAAAAAGAAGTAAAGAATATCGAACAGTTGCTGGAGGCGAATACCAAGGAACTAAGCGACACCAAGCTTATACTACATCACATTGACGCCACAAACGAACGAATTAAGGCCAGCATAGAACAGCAGCGCGTCTGGCTGGAGTCCATTAAAAATGTTGATGGTCTGCTGGCAAAACTGAATCTATTTCTTGATGCGCAAGGCACTGTTGTCCAGGAAGCTTTGAACAACATAACGCTCAAGTCTGGACTACATGCGGAGCGTGTGTCTAAGGAGGTAGGCGGCCTGGTGCGCCTGCAGCTCTCCACAAAACAACAGATCAGCGGGCTGGAGCAAAAGCTGGATGCCCACCAGAAGCATGTGCTCCAGAATGCACGAAGCATTGACAATAACATACTGGAGCTCACCAAATTGATAACTCGCGCCATTTTACCCCAGCTCAATGGACTGCAGTGCTCCTTCAATAGTCTGGAGACATCGCAAATCAATATAGAGGTGGAGCTCAAGAGTTTGACACGCGTCAAGGACATAAGTGAGGATTCCAATCTCAAGCTGAAGGTACTGGGCGACCAACTGGTCAGCTTGAATCGCACCCAGGACGCAGGTCTCGCAGTCCTCACGCACGCTCTGACACAGCTGAAGCCTCTGAATACCTGGCAAATTAAGCATGCACTACGCGATCTCATAATTTCCCAGAAGCGTATTGAATTGGATCTGGAGGCTTGCGAGAGACGGGCATCGCCGCATTACGCCGATCTGCCTGGTTCCGCCTCCTATACAGCCTATGAGATTGAATCCCACGCACCACCACCGCCGCGTGCTCAGCCTGGCAAGCAGGTGGATCTGGTGCACGTCTGGAACGACAAGGACCAAAACCAGCAGAGTATGTTATGACTTATAAACTTATACAAACACAAGCTTACTATCCACAACTTTTTCAGGTGCGCACGGTACTCCCTACTACGCTAGCGCCTACGTCCAGGCACCTGAACCAAAACCCAAACCCGGCAAGCCATCAAATGCCAGGTACAGCCATTATGTTGCGCCAGCTGCCAAGCCCGCTGGCTCCAGCTCCGTCTCCTGGCAGCAGCCTCTACCGTGGGAAGATGTTTTCTCCTCACAATCCGCTCCAGCGCCCAAGCCCAAGCCCAATTCACAAGCATGGCCAACTGAACCACACTATCCGTCCGCTCCAGCACCCGCGCCTAAGCCCTATCAAACTGGTTCAGGTCGCAGGAGACCCACAGCAAACCAGAAGCCATGTGCCCCGGGCCAAAGCTCGCACAATCCACCGCGGCACTCAGCTCCCGCTAGCTATGGACCACCAGCGCCACTAGTACAGTCTTATTCCCAGCAAGGCAATAAACCTGGTCAAGCTACGCACCAGCTAAGCCACGCTCCCTGGTACGGCGCCAACTCCCCATCCGACGGCTACTAAGGCACATCAGCTTCATTTTATGTGAAGTTTGCAATTGTGTAAACAAATAGATATAGCCGAAATATACATATGTACAGCAATGTTTTTAGTAAAATTTTAGACCATATAATAAATTATATAAACCATAAACAAAGGTTTTTTAAGATTATCAGTTCAATTTAGACGGTTGAATTTTTTATACCCTGAGGCTTACATCAGTTATTATTGATTCTCTATCCTCTATCCTATATCCTATTCTCTTTATTTCTCAATTTGACTCATTTAATCTCTCTCTAGTGTTTAAAGTAAGAATATTTGGAATTTTCCGGAGCTATATTAAATTAATTTGTCGTTTACTTAGATTAAGCAGCGACAATTTGACCAAGCCTCTCCTGTGGTCATTTTCAAGCAATAATTGGTTTCGAACTCTGGCTACGGTCAGATGAAATATATTACAAAGAACCGAAGTTTACGTTTACATTTATATAAAAGCGGAATGTCATATAACCTAAGGGGCGTCCAATAACTGAAATTGGTTAAACATTTGGATTTCTCAGTGAAAACTCTAATCGATGTCCTATGATTTTCTACAACCTAAAAATACCCTTGCAGAGGGTATTATAATTTTGTGTAACGCATAGAAGGACACATCTTCGAACCAATAAAGTATATATATTCTTGATCAGTATCAACAGCCGAGTCGATATAGCCATGTCCGTCTGTCTGTTTTTATGCGAACGAGTCTCTCAGTTTTATAACTATCTTTATAAAACTTTGCAGAAGTGCCTTTTTCTGTTGCACGTAGTACATAGATAGGAATGGGAATAGGCTGAATCGGACTACTATATCATATAGCTGCTATAGGAACGATCGGTCAAAATGTAGGTTCTTGTATGAACAACTTTTTTGTTTATCAAGATATCTTAAACAAACTCAGCATTTATTAGTTTTACTATGGTCCTCATCTATTTGTAAAATTCTATCAATATCGGACCATTACATCAAATAGCTGCTATAGGAACGATCGGTCGAAAATTAAGCTGATGTATGGAAAACCATTCTGTTTTTTCAAGATATTTTGACTAATCTCGCCATTTATAAGTTTCACTATGTTCCCTTCATTTATGCAAAATCTTATTAAAATCGGACTCCTATATCATATAGCTGTCATAGGAACGATCGGTCGAAAATAAAATTGTTGTATGGAAAACTTTTTTGTTTTTCAAGATTTCTTAACCATACTCGGCATTAACTATTTCCCTGTGCTTCTCAGATACGGGCAAAGCACTATGAGCATTATGAAAAGGTTGGGACTGCAAGGGTAATAAATCTTCGGCGTGCCGAAGATAGACCTTCTATCTCGTTAAAAAAAAAATCTATCCTTCCTGATTGCGTTACTTAACATTTTTTTTTTGTAAATTTACTGTTTTAAAAAATTAATGTTTCTTAAGAAGCTCTATTTATTTAATTTTGGGTTTCACGATATACATATATAGAGAGAAGAAGCAGTATTCAAAGACAATACAATAAATATAATCCATTAATATCTACACAAAGTGCTCGATCGTAAATTAGAATAATGCAGAATAATACAAATTCAGATTTTTATTTAATTAATATATATTTTTTTTAATCATAATAGTTAAAAACTAAAAAATATATTTCAAATTTAGTGATTCCTTAAAAACCCCATATCACGGATATGTTTAAAAGATGAGATACAGAAGGACACAAAAACAAAGGGATTTATTTTTTTCTGAACAGTTGGGATTATTTAAAACTCTAATTTGCACTATAAAATAACAGCCTGTAAGCTTAACCCATATTTTACTGAATGAATTTATTAAATAATATATTTAAAATTGTGACGCATTTTTGGAACAGTTACATACAGCCGGAAAAGGTAGAATTTTGCACGTTTAGTTTTTGGACGTACACTTGAAAATGTTGGCCAATCGGGGGCTCCAAATCTATTAATAGCTATCATAGAAGAAGAATGTCAAGACGTGACCCAACCAAAAGTTTAAATTATATATTAGCCCAAAAGTCGTTGAACTATTTTTTGAGATGATTACGAGTTCTAAGACCTAGAGTTTTTGGCAGCTGATACAGATTTTAAGATTCGAGGTTCTGGAAAATAGCGATTAGCTGTGATAAAAATTATGGTGGCTTATCCTAATAACCGAAAATACCCCATTTCCAAATGTTATCAAAAAGAATATGGAACGCTTAAACTCAACGCAGCCGCTGATTAGGTCAAGGTGCACCTGGCACGCGCCGGCTGGTTACAGCTGCGAGTATTTAAGAAGTAACCCACGCCAACTGACGGCAGTTCCAAATTAACGGTCAAACATGAAATCTCAACTAGTTGTGCTTATTGTGTGCTTGGCTGCCATAAGCGTCGCCGAGGAGCAGCAATCGGAGCAGGTGCGTCTTACAACAAACCAACAGCAAATTGCATTTCCTTAGTCTAATCCTCTCCAGCAGCAAGCAGTGGCGTCTAAGCGCGTGGAGCCCGGAGAGAACCCAAGCAACGCCCCAATACGTCGCATTCTGGAGGAGAATAACGAGGCACTGCAAAAATTGGACATTCAAGCACATAGCATTAGCAACTCCCAGAAGGGTATTGAGAACAAGCTGAGACTGCTGGGCCAGGATGTAGCCGGCATTGGCCGCTTGGAGGATGGACTAAAGAAACTGGAGCGTGTCTCGGAGAGCAACTTTCAGCAAACAGCCAATGGCATCAGGAACCTGGCGGCCAGCATCAGAGCCGCCGAGAATAGAACCGACAGGGCTATCGTGAGCCTGGGACGCGGCCAGCAGGATATCAAGCAGGTGCTCGTCAAGGTGGATGCCAACCAAAACAGATATGAGCGTAACCTAGATCAGGTAGCCAGGTCGGTGCACCAGCACCTATCCAGTCTGGATAATTTGGTTAAACAGTCGGTGCTCAAGGAGCTGGTGGCGCTTGTGCAACTCGCCAAGAAGCTGGACCATGCACAACGCCACATTGAGGGCAAGGTGAACCATTTGGATGAGCTGACGGCGCTGAGCAGCATTACGGCCAATAAAGTGCAACATCTGGAGCAGGGCTTGCGCTCCATAAACAGCACACAGCAGCGCCAATTGGCGGCCATTGGGCAGACAGTGCAGCAGGTGGGCGCCACCACCTGGCAGATTGACAATAAGCTGGGTGTGCTCTTAAGCACGCAGAAGAACATTGAGCGTGCGCTGGTGGAGTGCAAGAAAAGTCAACCCGAGCACAAGGATCACCCAAAGCTGCCAGAGCACCCACAAGAGCACTGGGAACAGCCTGCCTTCGTAACTTACGAGTAGGTAGCATAATCCTAAATAACTTTCATGATTAACAATACTCATTACAATTTCTAGGAACAAGGATCAACACAAAACGCCCTCGAAGCCAGACTACGATAGCGGCTATACCAATGCGGATGAGGCTTCCTATCTGTACCAGCTCTGGTATGGCAAGGATGATAAATAGATGAGCATATCTTCTTGCCCTTGCAGTGCATATTAAAGTTAGTCCTTATAGAAGTTGAGACATTCGTTGCCATCATGTTTATAAAATGCGTTTTAGGACTCCGTCAGTAGTCGATATACCCAGCTACAGTTAGGATCAATGTAACTTAAAGATAGCTATATTAACAATCTTTAGCAAATTGATTTGCTGTATATACATATTTAATTACATCCATCCGCTAATTGGGTATAAATATAACGAAAGGGTTTTAAAACGGATATTTATATAGGCATAATAATTCTTAAAAGCATTTCAAATCTTTGATATTGATAAACATCTATAGATAATCTTCTTTTAACTTATCTTAAAGATATAATTATCACTGCAAGCGGAAAAAGTCCTTGGCATTCCAATAGTTCTTGTTCTTTGTCGTTTATTTTTTAACATTTCCCTGTTTAGAAAAATGTATTTAACAACAATTATAGTTCGTTTTAAACTAACAATTGCACCTGATAAAGCCTCTGTTGTAGTTATGGTGGAATGACACCTGCAACAAACAATTAACCACGTTTTCCACTTATGAATTGTTAATAGTTATTTTTTGAAAAATAAATACCTGTGTTTTCATCAATGCAAATTTTTGCTTCCCATATTAAAGAGTTCTTGGATCTATGGGGTTGACCTGACCATCGGCAGGCTTAAAATTGATATGGAGCTGCGATTCATGCTGATTCTTATGCTCTGAACGATGCAAATTCTTTTTGGCCAAAGAGCGAAAGGCGTCTGTGGAAAGGCCTGTCTCGATTTTGTCGTTGCTGGCATCAGGATTTTCGGGATACATGTCGTCACCCGGCAACAGATGCACCAGTCCATCTGTGCATTTGTACATGACCGGGTGTGTGAGCACATAGCCCATGGATGCACGCTTCTGTGCAAACTGACGCAGCTCCTCCAACGTTTGGAAGTTGAGACAACGCGATAGTTCATAGTATTGCGGTGGAGGCAGCCAGAGTTTTTTTTGTAGCGCAGCCTGCAGATAATCCAAGGGGTCGCGCCACTGTTTTAAAAATTAAAAATGAGCAGGGATTACCAAAAAGAGTTATCTCTCATCTTTTGCTTACCGCATAGTCTTTGACTTCGTTGGGCTCAGTCATCACCTGCGGCTGAGTCTTCAGTGCTGCTAGAAAGAAGGCAGTTTCAAAGCGTTTTTTGAACGTGGAGGGTGTGCGCCAGGCGGACCATTCGTGCAACGCCCACAGATCTGGCAGCACATCCAGCTCCTCGCAGAGCGTTAGGAACTTGCTGGCATCATTGTGCACCACATGCTGCCAGTGTTTACGGTCGAATTGCTCATTGAATTGCGCATAGCCATCGGTGCTGGTCAAGGTTTTGCGATCACGGCAAAGCAAAATGCCCATTTCCTCAAATGTCTCACGTAGCGCAGTCAGACGCAGCGACACAGCCCTGAACAGGGTATAAAAATGAAATAAGAATTAAAGAACTATACAATTTTCTACTTTACGAATTGAGAGTCTCATCAGCGTTGTTCGGTGGCGCAGCCGCCGGGCAGAGCTGTTGCAATTTAGCAGCGTTAATGTCGTAGCGCTGAAAGTGTTTTAGCCAAGCGGGTGAGCTGTCTACCGCTTCACAAACGCCGCCCGGAAACACGGAAGAATCCGGCATGAAGCTGGACTTGGAGTGGCGTGTGAAGAGTAGCGCCTGCAAAATAAAATCTAGTAAGCAAACTGCTAAGTATAAATATAAAGTAAATATACAAACATTGTAATCATAGCAGGACGGCGCAGAACTGTTGTCCTTGGCCAGAAGTATAAGGCTGGCGGATTGACGTATTTTAGCCAAAACTTGTTTCGACATGACTTAGATAATAATAATATTGATACGAATACAATGCAATCAAGTACCTATCGATCTGGCTGATAGTGGGAGTGGGCTGGCACCACAACTATCGTTTGCGCTGATACTGTCATAAGTTGGCCGCCACTTGCATTACCTAGGCCCTAAACGACAATATAAACTGTGTACATATTGATCTGACTATTTTAAAGTGAATTTACGCCCGTTCCAGCTATCTTTTTCAACAATAATTTAATTTAGCAATCAATAAACGCAATAAGCGATTACAGACATATTAAAATCACGCAGCTATCGATCTGGCTGCTGTCGCAACTATCGATTGTATCGTTAATGTTCTCGATATGTTTTTCCAGCTGTCGAACTCTCGTCTCGCGGTGCAAAGGTGAAAATAAAATATGATTTTGATATGAATTTAGTGGCTGAAGAGCCACGATCAGTTACCAGCTCCCAGTATGACTACCTCAGATAAAGTCCGGGTCAATGGGTATAGGCCATCAGCCAGCTTAATTCTAGCAGGCAAAGCGGTGTCCAACTCAGAAGAGCAAGTTGATTACAATGTAAGAGTAAATAAATAAATTACAAAAAAATATTTGTCACTTTTATTCATCACAGCTTTTGCTAATTAAACGCACAGAGCGCACATCATATGCACTAAATCACTGCGTCTTTCCTGGCGGCGTTTTTGACGCCAAGGCAGATGAATCCGCCGATTGGCTGACCTATTTCCAACATTGTGGCATTACCCAGGCGCAGCTGGAGCTATTGAAATGCCGTCAAGCTACAGGCAGACCAGAACTCATGAGCCGGGGCGGTAATTTCTCACGCGATATCTCACTGCGTCTAACGGCACTACGAGAAACCTTTGAGGAGGTGGGCATTCTATTGTGTTGTACAAGTCTAAAGGATTTGGACAAGGGTCAGCCGGCACACATGCTGTTGCAGCCATTCGAGCGTGAGCTCTGGCAACAGCGCGTACACAATGATGCAACACAGTTTCTCGAGCTATGTCGTCATCTGTCTGTCATACCCGATCTGTGGGCACTGAGCGAGTGGTCGGTTTGGCGCACACCAGCTTCAGCGAGTCGCAAGTACGATACGGTCTACTATTTTGCAGCCTTAGAGACCAACCAAGTGGATTTGTTGCTCGAACCTAGTGAGGTGGCTTCGGCTCACTGGCTGCACCCAGGCGACTGCTGGCAGCAATCTCAGGAGGGCACCATCTGGCTGCCTTTTATCCTGCTCTATGAGACGGCGCGTCTAATGAACATGCACCGCTGGGAGCAGCTTCTACAGTTTGCGCATCATCGCAGCGCCCGAGGCTCCACGCTATTGCAGCCAATCTATTATCGGCCCACTGACTGCATGCTTGGCGTCTTGCCAGGCGATGAACTCTACTTGGCTAACCCGGAGAACTGCACTGAGTCCATAATATTACCGAGCTCCATCAACGAACTTAATACGCTTGCCAAGCGTTACAATCGCTATATGATCTATGGCTTCCAGCGCGTGGATTTTGCCTGCAATGTATTACCCCCGAATGGACATTTGCCGCTGCACGCTCTTATAAATACTCGGCTTGCGAAATTATAACATCAAATAGCTTAAATATGTATATAAATCTTTTTGTCATGACTAATTTAAGCTTATTTTTGTTGTAAGCTCCTGTGTGGAACTCTTGTTTTGTTTTCCAATGGGCCTCAAACTTATTACCAAAAATTCCTTGGGCCACATGGTCGTTAAGTTACTAAAGGTAATATAAAAATTTGTACACAGTCGAAAATTATGTAAAAAGTGGATATTTAAAAATGTATGTCAATATATTTTACCAATTTGGATTAAATTAAACTACCACTAGTAAGCTCTGCTTGTACATTGCGACAGGCGTGACACAAATCCTTCACTGAGCCCAAACGTTGTCTGGCGCGCTTTTCCAGTGCCTCCATATTATCGTGCTGTTGCAGTGCAACGCCCATTTCGGAGACGGCGCGCGAATATTCAATCGCTAGCAAAGTGTCGGAGAGCCCAGAATCCAGTTCAGAATGACACAGCGCACAAGTCGAGGGTACCTCGACAATTGGTTGACGCTTGGCGGCAATTTTATTGCCCGTGCGAAAAACCGTAGACACCGTGGATACATAATTCAATTGCAGATTTACCACAAACGCACTTGTCAGGTTTTGGAGACTAGCATCAGACAACCGACTAGGGTCATCCGACTGAAACGGTTGCAGCTGCTGGGCGTTTATATAGAACTGCACTTCCTGTTCGTTGAGATCCTTCAAGGGACGTAGAAGCGAGACGCCGCCCTGCAGACGATCATCCAGCAGAGCCACATCCAAAGCAACGCTACCGCCGCGACCCAATGCCACGGATGTTAATAGCTGTGCAGCCAGGCTGGTGCTTATGCTGGGCTCAAAAACATGAGTGCACTGCAGCTGGATGGCAACGGCGCTAATGAGCCGTTTGCGCTGCTGCCGTACATAATCCTGCCGAGCTGTCAAGCTGCGCAATTTGTTTTCAGTTGAGTCTAACCGGGAGGCACTGTAATCCTTGAGCAGCTGCAAGCTGTGGACCTCTGCACCCAGCTGTATGACATAGAACTCGAAGGGCGCATAACGTTTACGCAGTTCGTTTAGCGTTGATAAAGGATCATTGTCGGACGGTGATGCTCGAGCATCTATGTGAAGCACACGTGCGCTGCAGTGCAGCCGTTTGAAAGTGTTTTGCGTTTGCGCAAAGTGTAACATATCCAGCAGAACTAAAGACTCGGCGCTACCGTCTACCAGTAGCAGAACCTCAGCATTGCGTGGCAGCGCCTTTGCCGCCCCTAATGCGGCACGAAACTTGTGCCTGGCATAGTTGAGGAAACATTCGTGACATTCAGCGGCACGAAAGTTCAATTTGTACAGCTCCAACGAGTTGAGGCCGCACTTGTTGCAGCTGCCTGCAGTAATAACAGTTCCCACTGTTGAGGAACCAGGCAGCATGGCATGCGTTGCGCCCTCGTCACCAAAATCATCTTCGCCAATACTGCACATTAAATCTAAATTTCAGCAAATAACGAAATATAAACTAACCCACACAACAAACTGTGGGTGTGTAAGAATTAGTGATGATATGTGGACCGATAAGACATATCGTAATTAGGGCTGTGCACAGGGCTGTTATTGATTTCGATATCTTAATGTATCGTCTGAGAGTGCGATATGCAGCCAACTTTTCTAGCAAGCAACCTTGCGCCCAGCAATAAAGTGCAGTGAAAAATATAAAAATAACTATTTAAAACCGTAATTTGTTATACAAAACTATTGCATGAGGTTAATTTAGTGCATAAGGTATGTGTAAAAAGTGTTAATCTATAGAAAAGAGTTGATAAAATGTCCCAAATTTGAGCGCAAAATTTTGGCTGCTTCCTTTGCATGTGTGCGTGCAAATGTAAATTTTTGTGCCCGTGTGTTTGTGTGTGTGTGTGTGTGCGTGCTGTAGTACGCAAGCAAAAGTATCGGGTAGCAAAATCGAGAAACTTTCTTATTGGAACATACACAAACGAGTGGCTGCCATAGTGGTGAGGTGGACTCTATGTACGTTCAAGCTAGCTGTCAGTCACTACAAAATTACATCAATATTTTGAAGAAGCCTACGAAAATCGAGTAAAAAAAATGTTCATAAATATAAATTGTGCACAGCCTACTTAAAAGTATGCACGCTGATGCCCTTGTGGTGCTAATACAATAATAACAACAACTATACGCTGGCAAACAACGTGTGTGATAAGCGCTTTAAAATACAAAGCACTTTCGTTGAGTTTAATTGGCCGAAAATTTCAATTAACATGAACAGCAACTCTGCAAGTAGCCAGTGTTAATAACTGTTTTTGCTTGTGTTTTTCAGCATTCTAGCTAATATTGTACATATAGTGTATAGTGCAGTTAACTCGCAGCAACCGCACAGCCTTTGTGGTGGGCAGAGAGAGACAGCGAGTAAAATAGTGAGCAGAGTGAGGCAGAGGTCATATTAAAAATAAGTATATTTTCGGCCCCCTAAAACGATTACAAATAAAACGCAAAGCAGCACGCAGACCAACGCAAGCAGAAGGCATACAACATTTGGGGCCATTCAATAAAATGATATTGGAAAACTCGGATAAGCTCAAGGATTGGCTGAGCGTTGTGCTCGAGCCACTGTAAGTAGTATACTCTTCACTATCGATTAACTTCGATAGCTACTCGTTATAAAATTTTTAAATATATATGTACATTTGTTTGTTTTTTTGTATTTATTTAAATTGTCATTTAATAGCTGCGATGCTGATTCCTCGGCTTTGGCTCGCTACGTAATTGCGTTGCTGAAAAAAGACAAATCGGATAAGGATCTCAAGCGCATCATGATTGAGCAATTGGATGTGTTTCTCTCCGAGGAGACGACACGTTTTGTTGATCGTTTATTCGATGCCATTGCCAGCGAGGAATATCTAACGATGCCCGCTCCAATGCCAGCGGCAACGTCGGCCATTGCCGAACTGGAGCTGGAACATGATTTGGATGTTGTGGCCGATATTGAGGCTGTGTTGACTGCCAATTCATCGCCGCCACCGCCACCCGCGCCAAAAGATATTGTGATAAAACCAGATAGCAATCAGCAGCAAATAACCAGCGATAACAACAGCAAGGAGACCGCTACGGAAACGTCCAGCGCCGGCGGCAGTGCCTCAATCGCCACAGATGCCAACGCAACGGGAACACACAGCACCAAGACAGCCTTCGATGTAAGTTAAGCTCTCTTCAGTCTAACAAACACTCTCCCTTAATAAGTACATTAATGCTTACAGCACAAAACCAAAGACTCTCACAGCCAGCAGCATCAGCAACTAGTGCATCATCATCACAGCAGCAGCGGTGGTGGAAGTGGCGTCAGCGCTGCAGGTTTTGTGCGCAGCGCTAGTCCACCACTGCGCAGCAGCGGTCCAGCTAGTGGTGGCGCCTATGCCGCCGACAAGGAGAATCAGCCGCGTGACAGTCGCCGGCGTCGTGCTTCTTTGCGTTCCCGTTCGCGTTCCCGTTCCCGATCCAATGATCGCTCGTTTAGGCGCTCGCGTTCGCGGGATCGTCGCATCAATGAGCGCGAAAAGAGCCAGAGACAGTTTCGCAATAAATCGCCGCCGGGCGGTGCCAGTGAGCAGCGGCACAGACGCAACAACAATAATAACACTTTCGACAGGCGCCGCATTGGTAACAACAACAGCAACAATAACAACAACGTGGATGAGCGCAATCAGCGCTTTGGCGGCAACAAGGGCCGTCACTCGCCGCGCAGTCGCTCCATATCGCCAGAATCGCGTAATGCTCGTCGCAGCAACAACATAGAACCAGCTGCCAGCTCATCCGCCTCAGTGGCAGCATCAGCGCCCGTGCCGGTGCCTGTAACGCATCCAGTGGCTGCAATGGTCCGTCAACGTTGCCGCGACTTCGATGAGAAGGGTTATTGTGTGCGTGGCGAGACATGTCCCTGGGATCATGGCATTAATCCGGTAGTCTTTGAGGGCATTAACAATTCAGCGCTTATGATGTCCATGCGCGAGTACAATCCAGATGCGCCGGAGATTTGGGCACGCGGTGGACCAGCCGGTGTGCCGGGCGTGCCTGCCGCAGGCCCAGGTAATCAACAGGCGTTGCCTGTGCCGCCCCAGACTGGCCCAAACAACATTAATCCGTTCAGTGGCAATGTGCGTGCATGTGCGCCTCTGGGTGTACCCAATCCTGCTGATTACGCACGACAGCCCGGCCAAGCGCCACAAGTGCCCGCACCACCGCCAATGATGCCATTTCCCTTTAATCCTACAGCCGTGACAACGCCCCTACAGCGTCAACTCATACCTATACCCGTGATGGATGGCGGCGCTGGAGGTGCCGGCGGTGGCGGCATGGCCGCTGAGATGGGCAAACGGCGCTTTGAGCTGGAGGATAGCGTGGCCATAGCTGATGTGCCCAGCAAGATGCGCAAGGTGCCCATTAATAGTCGCCTTGGACCGCGTGTCAATCCGAATATGCAGCAGCACAATAGCTCCTTGGAGCTGCGCAAAGTGCCGCGTGGCCTAAATACAATTGCGCATCTGAACAATCATTTTGCCAAATTTGGTAAAATTGTCAATATCCAAGTGTCATATGAGGGTGATCCCGAGGCGGCCATTGTAACGTTCTCCACGCATGCGGAGGCGAATGTCGCCTACCGCAGCACCGAGGCGGTGCTCAATAATCGCTTCATCAAAGTCTTCTGGCACAACGACAACAACAGCAATAGTAACAACAACAACAACAACAACAATGAGGCGGGCAACTCGAATGTGAATCGCAAGAGTCAATATCACTTGCATAATGTGCCCGCGGTGCCGACGCCGAATGCGGACAGCGCCAAGATTACAAACAACAGCAATAATGGCAATCAGACCCAACCCCTTGGCGAAACGGGCAGCTCGAATAATGCTTTGGCAGTGCCCACAACGGAACAGGCGCTTGCCAGCACCGCAGCGCCCGCATCCATGCGTCTAAAGCTCAATTCAAATGCCACACCCAATGCGGCAGCAAACGGTGGCGTTCGGGCGCTGACGCCGGCGGCAAATGCCGCGAGCATACGCAAAAAACAGGAAGAACAGCAGAAGGCAATGCATCAACTGGCGAATGGGCTGCGTAAGCGCAAGCAAGAGCTACTCCAGAGCTATGTGAAACAAATGAAAACGGCGCTTGAACTAGTCGAACGCATGGATCAGCAGGATGTGCAGCGAGCGCCGACGCTGGAAACGATCAAAGTGCTACAGGCGACAATTGATAAGCTGCGCAAGGATGTGCACGCCGATCAGGATCAGCTGCAGGCGCAAATCCAACAACAACAACAGCAGCAACAACAACAAACGCTGCCCGTTAAGAAAACCAAAGAGCAACAAAAGAAGGAACTGCTCGACATGGAACTGGAGCTGATTGCCCAGCAGCAGGAAGGCAATGATACAACGGCCATACAGAAACGTCTAGAGGAGCTGCAGCGCACGCTCTCCGCCACAGCTGGTGGTGGCGCATTATCTGGCGGCGGTGCCAAGTTGCCCGGTGGCGGTGCACGCAAACGTGCCACATATCCTGAAGGCTCCACGCGTGTAGATCGACGAACAAAAGCGATTGTGGTCACCGGCTTTGCCGCCGAGGAAGCCGATTTTGTGCTGGGTCACTTTAAGGTAAGCAATTAAAAACTCATTTAAAATAAATCCCGCTTAATAAGTTGTTGATCTTGCAGCATTTCGGCGAAATATCCAAACACGATGTGGACCGTGAGATTCCCCAGCTAATACTCTCCTATGCTACGCGTCTAAATGCCGAGCAAGCGGTGCTCCGCGGCAAAATGTACAAAGACAAACGGTTGCAGGTTAGCCCAAATCAAGTCTCACATTCTTTTCGTTATGCATGACCATTGCAATTGCAGATATCTTGGGCACCCGTGGTGACGGCGCCTGCCGCAGTGCCCATGGGCGCACCGGCTGATAAATCGCCGGCAGCGTTGGCCTCACCGGCTGGTGATAAACTGGATAATCCCAAGCAACTGTTGCATTCATCGGTCAGCGAGAGCGAATCTCTGCTGGGCAGCGATACACTGCCAGAGCTGCGGCTCGAGGATGAGGAGGAGGACGAAGAGTCTGAGGATCGTTCCTGGCGTCGTTGATGTAACGCCAAGCGCTGCTCCTAGTGGCTAGTTAGCTCCATGCGGCTCATAATCTTTAGAAAAGCATTAATTGTATTTCTATTTGTTGTTATTCTATATCCAAAACGTGCACGTACACATATATATATAGATATATATCTAAATATGTATGCATGCAAGGCAAACATCGTTAATTGTATACAAAACAAAAAACAAAAAAACAAAAAAAAAATATGCTAATGTTATGTACCATATTTTAAACTAAAAGGCAAGCCGCCAAACACACCAACAAACAAACACACACACACACACACACACACACACACACACACTGGACATTTGCAACTGTTGGTAGCTCTTTCTCTAATCATAGAGCTAATAATCTATAAACGTCTTAAATTAAAAGAAA